CGCCTGGGTACTTCTTTGCCAATTCATCGCATTGATCTTTCATTTCTGAGGCTACGGTGATGGCAATGTTGGGATCTCTGTAGAGATACTCAATCAGAGGAGCGGAAACCCTGCCAGCTCCGAAAATAACAACTCTCTTCTTGGATGGATCTTCAAAAGAACCTTCTTTATGCCTAGTCCTAAAATAAGTAATGAGTTGAATTAAACTATTATAACTTTGTAATTACTTATTACATATTGATTTTGCGAAGATCCTGAATGTATTCAAAGTTCGTTGTCAGTTTTCCGTTGCTAGCAATAATAGCCTGTAATTAAATTAATTAGTTTTCGATTTGATTTTTGTGTTCCGCTACTTACGCCTTCTACGGTTGCACAGAAGTTGTGGTTCTCCATGGGTTCTTCTGCTTTAGACTTGAGAATGTCTTGAGCGAAGGGGAAGAGAAGATCGCCGAAGAAGTCGGTACTTTCTCTTGGTATTTGTGTGGGCATGTTATCGATGCTGCAGACTAGAACGCCGGGTCCACTGAAACTCTTGGTGTCCTTGTTTCTATCGGCGTCGTAGAGGCAGAAAGGTGTATCAATAGTAGTGCATTCGTTCATGAATTCGATGGAACCGCCTGGATCCGCGGAGATGTCGCAAATAGCCAACATACGATGAGGCAAGGCTGGTGCTCCAACGGAAGTCGGAAGCCAAGGCGTTCTCGCTGGTCTTAACAGATCTTTAGCATCTGGAATTGTCAGCAGTTTCGGACTGTTTACAGCCCAATAGATGCCGTTAACAATAACCGACGCGTACGGTGCGATCTTTTTGCTGAAAGTGGAAATGTAACGTTCCGGATGCTCCTCGTATTCGAGTTCATCGAAACCTCCACCTTCTTTGCGCTCCAAGTAATGTTTCCTGCGAATTTCGCAACCGTAAATTTTGTTCAAACTTCCGTGCTCGGCGGCTTTCTTCAGGTTCTCAAAGCTAACGTATTCGTGCGGCAGCTCTTGGAACACTTCTTGTGATCCCTGCGACACGTTACCAGAACCGGTGAAAACGAAAGTCAAAGGCCCGATGGATTTGGGCATCAAACCTAAAGAGATCTCATATCCAGCATCCCTGACAGCTTGTCTGGCCATGCTCGAATTACGGTAATTGTGAGCCATACCGATATGCATGAATGGAGTGTGATGGCCCAAAGCTAGCAGCCTCAAGCCCATACCGTGCAGGATATTAATTTGTCCTGCAATTCCGGCCATTTTGCCGAAAGCCACGACTCTGGTTCCTTTATCGTCCATCAATTTCTCGTAATCCAATAAACGGATTCGCTTCTCCAGGATGGCATCAAGGAGAGCCATATTGGTCTCTTGGCCTTTGATGGTGTGCGAGAAAATGCAGTAGGTTTTATCGGGGATTAACTGATCGATGGGGACTTGCTTAACCCCGAAGATAACGCTCGCTTCGGAAATATCCTCTTGGATAATCGCTCCGGCGTTTAGGTAAGATTGCATCGGATAAGAACGCCTATTGCTAGGCTGCACGATGACCTTGACGCCATTCTTCGTCAACTTCTTCACGTGGGACGGTGCGAAAGCTGCTCTTCTCTCCCACACGCTCTGATCTTCCCTCCTGATGGCTATAACCTTCTTAGTATTCTGCACAGACAAAAAAAAATCATTTGCAACCTACTTATTTGTATATTAATATTGATGTACTTACGTAGGATCTTGAGTTAGCCTCAAGCTTGAGGCTGTTCTTAGCCAAACGCAGCATGCTCTTGATGTAGACGATATATTCTTGCAGCATATAAAATTAATAAAAAAATAAGAAATATGAGATGCGGCCCTCAGGAGTACACTGGGCCTACTGAAATCGAAACCGTCTTCCCCGTTGACATTCACCAGCTATCAGCTCGACCCAGATGACCCTCTTTCATAATTATTATTCACGATATTAATAGATAGAAAAAATTATACGTCGCGATAACGCGATACGCCAATCAGCAACTACTTTCTTCTGCTGGTAACATCATCTTCTCTTCATATCTGCGTATTAGATTTTAAAAAATGTGCGTTTATTTCTTTAAGCCGTTAACATGTTTTCGATTAAGACATGTTTGCAAATATATTTTTTTTTGGTAACATTCCGATGGGCCGAAAGTAGTGGTGATGCAGAGTGCATGTCCTCATTGCGAACGTCATCAATTGCTGGTGTTGTAACAGATAAACTTAGTGGAATAATATATTTGCGAAAACAATCTGAAATCGTCCGATCGTTGCGAAATAACGTTACTCCAAGGGAAAGGAAAAAAAAATCTATTTTTTTTTCTGGCATTTAAATTTGTTGTTCGATTTTTTAAACTTTCCGTTTCACGCCTTACGTTTGTAATTGTTTTTGGCAAATGTAACTAATGGGTGTATGTATATGTTTTTGGGCCGTATTTAAAAAAACAATCCTGCGGAGGAAAAGCTTGAGAGACGGAAAGAGAGAATGAAAGAGAAAATGAGAGGGAGTCGGAGTGAAGCAAAAAACCGAAATAGGTTTCAGTGTACACGATGTGTGTGTGACGTATTACTGTCAGTTTGTTAAATAAACACAACTCCATTAAATTGTTGCCTCACATATGTCATCTCGACCACCCAGTTTTCGACTCTCTTCGCCTCCTCCTGCCCTGACATATTGCGATGTTTGGAAGTACGAAATTAACTGAAACCATGCTGAAAATCTATCCATGTTCCTTCCACGCGTCACGTAGTACCACTACGCGCTTATGTGCTTAAAAGTTATATAAGAGAATGCTACACATTTGATTTTATTCATTGCAAATTTATTGGCCTACACTAATTATTAAGAAAATCTCATTGTCTTATATTCATTTTGCAATTATCATATCGTTAACATTGATAATATTTCTTAAGAAAATTAATACACTTTGAATTATCTAAGTATTTGCATATTAATATTATTTCTTATCATAATCTTGGCGCACTTTCTTGTAGTTTTTGATGAACCAGAAGAGGCGCAGCGTGAAAAAGTATAGGATTTCAATGAAACTGAGAACGCTGCAGCCGAAGAACAGTCCGGCCATGCCTCCAATGTAAACTGGAATGACTAGAAATAACATACCGCACAATATTTGTCTTGTTTTTGTTTCTGCTCACCCAAAACATCGGTGAAACCGAAGATCACGTCGCGCTTCAAACGCATCCGTGGATACTCTTTGAGACCCCACTGCAAGTTCGACCCCAAAAACCATTCCCTCGACTCGAAATTCTCGATTACGTAATTCACGTCGTCGCAGTTTGGATAGCATTTGCATTCTCTCTTCATCGTAATCAGACGATCTAAAAAAAAACAGTTTCATAACACTTTTTTTAAATTATTATTTACAATCATTTCTTTAAAAGCATCACAGTTTGATTGGAATTACAATGTTTTATGTATATTTACAATATTTGTTTACTATTGTCTTCATTTTATTTACAAATTAATCATTAAAATCAATGGGATATATATTTTTATTAATTAATAATTTTATTTTACCTTTGTGTTTCGATAGACAATGAAGACCTTTAACATCACACNTTTTATTTTACCTTTGTGTTTCGATAGACAATGAAGACCTTTAACATCACACGTTTTATCTCCACCTGAAGATTATTAAAAAAAAATCTAATATATTTTGGTAATATTTAAAGATATAAAAATTATGTTCAATTCAACCTAATTTCCTGTAGAAGTGTGGAATGCAACCACACAATTGCTTCCCCAAATTTGATCTGCACTCCATTCTGCAGAGAACGTAAGAGTAGACAGGTGAATGTCTTAAGTTGCTTTCATCGTAAAATCTGCATTTCCTTTGCTTCGGGTTTAAATCGAAAGTTCCTATTTGAATGCTTTGGAAAATCACAACGGCCTCCAAGAGCTCATCGCTAAATCAGATATTGCCGTTTCTATCCTTCCGGCTAATATGCATCACGTCGTTGCTAAAGCTTGCATCGATCAGAAAATCAACATGGTCACCGCCAGTTACGTTTCGGACGCAATGAAAGAATTGCATAATGAAGCAGTTGAAGCTGGAGTCACCATCCTCAATGAAATCGGTTTGGACCCTGGCATCGATCATCTCTTAGCTCTGGAATGCATTGATGATGTTAAGGCTATGGGCGGTAGAGTGACGTCCTTCGAATCCTTCTGCGGCGGTCTCCCAGCACCGGAATTCAGCGACAACCCTCTCAGATACAAATTCTCTTGGTCACCAAGAGGTGCTTTGCTAAACACCCTCTCATCCGCTAGATATTTGCGTAAAGGACAAGTCGTGGAAATTAGTGAAGGCGGTGAGCTGATGGCTGCTACTAAGTCATTAGATTTCCTACCTGGCTTCAGCTTGGAAGGTTTCCCCAACAGAGACAGCACAGCGTACACCAATTACTACGGTATCCCAGACGCTTTGACCGTTCTTCGTGGAACCATCCGTTACACCGGTTTCGCTGAGGCCGCGAGAACGTTGCAGCTTCTCGGATTATTGGACCCCAAACCGCATCCATACTTGCACACCCAAGGACCAGATATGACGTGGAGAGGACTGATCTGCCAAATTCTGGGATTCGAAGACACCACCATTTTGCCTGAGAACTTGAAGCAGAAGATCACCGAACGCACCGGCAGCGAATTCGCCGTCGAACTTTTGGAAGAACTCGAGCTTCTCAGCGACGAAAAGGTTGCTAAATACGGAACACCACTTGACACCTTGACACAATATTTGGCCAACAAATTGGCATTGGGACCGCAAGAAAGGGATCTTGTAATCTTGAGGCACGACATTGGTATTATGTGGCCGGACAACAGGAAGGAAGTCAGAGGAGTAAACTTTGTAGTCTACGGTGACGCTGAAGGACATTCCGCAATGGCAAAGACCGTTGGTTTCCCCGCAGCCATCGCTACCAAAATGATCCTCGATGGTAAGTTTACGTCAGAGGTAATCAATGAAGTCATTTTTTTATGAATTTACTTTTCAGGTGAGATTCAACACAAAGGTATCATTCTTCCATTTACTTCCGACATATACAGGCCAATTTTGTCCAGGTTGAGGAACGAAGGACTCAACAGCACTGAAACTTCCAAATTTTTCTAAAAAGTTAATTTAATTATATTTTCTAAGAAATACGCTTTTTAAATAATAAAGTTTTTACCAAGTAAATTATGTTATAAATAGAATAAATTCTTTAATCTAGTCGCCTTTATCACAATCTTATACAAAGGTGGTGAGTTGGATCATCATACTAAATTGATAAAAAACGTTAGTCGATAAGTATTGAAAGAGCGGTAGGAATAGGGCATTCATAATAATAATGAGAAGAAAAAATAAATCTATAATCAAACTAATAATAAATATTTAAAAATCGTATGGAAATGCTAAAGTTAATAATTATTATTACTACTAATTTATAACTGATTGCTTAAATGAAAATTATGATAATTATGAATAGTTCTTAATATTTCTTATTTATTTAATCTCAATTAAATAAAAATTGTATTTAATTTAATTTTGAATTTTTGATTTAAATTCAAATTTTAAACCAATCTATTGTATGCAACTCTATATACAGAGTTGTCCGAAAAGTATAATCAATAAACTAATAGAAAAAAACATTGCGGACAGTTATTTATTAGGCTCGGTAAGTTTCTATTAGTTTCCAGTTATAGTTTATTGCTTTATTAGTTATAGACAAATGGGATATGCTGTAAATAAATATTGAATACAATTGTTTTAACGATTCATGGATAAAATGCAAGGTATGAGTGTTTCTCACATGTCAATGTATGCTTGACTAATGAACCTGTAACTTTTAGTGCATGCAGTTTATTTAGACTTCGTGGAATTGAGGTTGTGCTAATGAGTTCTGCAAACGAGTAAGTTTTTCGTAATAAAGAGAATGCCGTAGTGGTACAGATAGTTTGGTTCCTTATTTTGCAGGGGTAATGTGTTGCCATGTGGATGGTCATAACGATGATGCAGGGTGTACAGTATTGACCCTATATGTACGTGTAGGAGGGCTTAATCCAGTTGTTTGATGGTAATTTGGATGCGCGCCCTCCCCCTTTCGCTCCCCACTGCCGGAAAAAGCCAGACGAGCCTTGTTTGATGACCATCCTCTGAAGCAAACAGAAGGTAGATAGATAAATGATTATGCGAAAATCCGCGAAGTGCGTTGAGTAAATTTGTGAAATTTCGTTGCACAATGGAGTGAAACCTGCAGTGTGCATTATTCCATTCGCTTCCTTTTCACTCTTCTTTTTTTTCTGCCGTGTATCGGGAATATTGAACTGATCAATAGGCAACCACCAAGACGAGCGAGATCTTTGTGTAGCTCCCTACTTCTCCAAGCGCAAGCGAAGCTGTCAGAATCCGGAGCCCACAGTCACCCACAGTACCGTAATTTAGTATATAGTGCGAACTCTATGTAGGTATATATATATATATATATGTATACATATATGCACTTATACATCTGCAAGTACGTGTCGGTGTGCAAGTGTAAGTGTGTGTTTTTTTTGTTCCTGTGATTGTCCACGAATTCCTTCAGCTGCTGCCCTTTTTTTTCCCTCTTCACGGTGATGAGATGTTGTTTCGGGCGTACTTCGGAACCGCTGGAGTTGTCGTTTTGTGTGTGTGACCCCTAGCAATCGGCCCGCAACTGACGAATTGACTCTATAAGATGGAAGACAGTGCAGAATCAAGCTCTAACCCCATTTCTCAGGGGTGTGGCCCACATACACAGATCTCCATCCATATCAGCCCCACAACTGGGGGTGATTTCTTCCTCACTGTTGACCCAGACATCACAGTAGATAATCTGAAGAAGTTGGTATCGAAGAAGCTCAAAGTCCCACGGGACAGGCTCTGCCTACTCTTCAGGGACAAGTGAGTGTTTCGCACCAAGCCCTCTCCCCATGCTTTTTACTCATTAATTACTTTTTGCATCTATCCACAGGCAACTCCAAGAGGGCAATCTGACACAGCATGGTGTGGCCGATGGTTCCAAAGTCACATTACTGCCCAATGTAGAGACTGGACTTGTTGTAAGTACTACCATTAGCATCATTGCATCAATTTAATTAAAATCAATAGGGAACCAATCTGGTTTTCACCTTCACAAGCCTTCTTTGCATCATATTAATTGTTTGCTCTTTGAAACTATTTACTTCAACCATAAACACATTTTTATTCTTTTTTATTATTTCACTTCCTATTATTTATAAAGCGTCATTATGCTTATACATCAACCCCATCTATTTTAATGATTGAACTAATTATCTAAGGAAGCAATTGCCTCTATAATACAAGATTGACCTACAATCACCCACCCAAATTAAGTTTAAATCAATTAGTAATATGATGTATACAAAATAACATCAATCCACTAAAGCATTTTTATTATTTTCATTACTATCTATGTAACAACTAACTAATCTCAACTAAATATTACATAAAATTGTGGAAAAAAAATAAGCTTACACATATTATCAATTATAATTTTTCCATATTGAACAAAATAATAATGCATTTTTAATCACAGCAAAAACAAGCGTAGTTTATATACGTAAAAATAAGTATTATTAAGCTTTCAAAAATATTATGTATTCAATAGTTGTCGTTTTTATGATCACATTTTCATTATGCATTGAAAAAATCTATTCTGGGTTGACCAGCTTGTATAATTTCTGACGCAATTGCAATTCGTGGATTGCATTTCTGCTGCTACTCCAGTTTATTTACACAGCTACGAACCTGGCATTCTCGAAATTCTCATTCTCTCGTTTATTTATTTTTTTTTCCTTCCGGCTGGATCTGTTGCACCACTTGATCGTCTCCGTGATTAGTATTTAATACCAATAAAAGTCGGAAAGTTGTTTATTTTAGATTATTCCAAAATATTTCTGCGTGTTAAATATTGGACTCTAAATATAAATGTTTTTTTTAAAGGTAGTTTTACCTTTCTATGGTCACTGTAGACCCTTGCTTGTCATTTTTGTTTGTCATCTCGACGAGGGTATAGTTAGTTGAATTATGGTTAGAAAACAAGACTTGTCGTTTTTACTCCTATCTTTTTCCTTGAACGCATTTCTTCGCACAAATTGTGGAAATCTATGGTTTTCTAAGGTCATCCTTATTAACACATTTACATATATCTGATGCAGGCTATATAATTAAACAAAAGTGTTAACAATATTTCTTCACTCACCGATTATTAAAGAATATTACAATGTCAAATCATAGGTGTTGAGGTTTATGAAGACATCACTTCTTCATAGATGACACGGAAAGAAATGTATACGTGTGATTCTTTCCGCGATTGCATAATGTTTAATTAGAAAACGACAAATTCGTGCGCTGTTTTAAATTATATTGTTTGTTTGTACTAGCTACGATGTACGTTTCTGTATGTTTCTGCGCTTAATTCCTTGTTAAAAAAAAACAACAATTCTTCTGAATAATTTTATATTAATAGGAAAACATTGTTTATGGGAGATTTAAACATTTTATTGTTTGAATATTTTACGTTTAATAATCAACACAATATGTGCTATTTTTTTTTATTATTTAAGGAAAATGTTAATAAATATAATATTTTGCATGTTATTTTGTGACGTCGGTAGTAGTAAATATTGGTTATCATTGATTAAACCTTTGAATCATCGCGAAGCTTTGTAGTATTTTATTGCTTATCTGAAACCAACGTGTTTTATATTGATGAAATATTTTGAAATATAATGAAACTTAATATTATACTCGTTTTGTTGATTCACAATAAAAAATGCACTTCTGTCGGTAATGATGGTTGAAATCGATTATCATCTATACAGGAAACAATGAGATTTTGTTGTTTGCAAATTGTGAGAAAACAGGTTTAACCTCTTAACCTGCTCGCGTGTATAAATATAAAGTTGGCACAGTTATTGTTTGGATAAGTATCCACAAATATATATGTATTGTATATAGATATTTCTCAAATGGAAAAATGGGAAATCTTTGATTTTTTTTGTATCTAATTGATTCATTACTCGGGGAAACCTGACGTCAAATAATCTCTACGATTTGTAAGGCTTGTCCGATGGGAAATTAAATTAGTCAGATGTTAGTAAGGAGTCATGTTCCAATCATTTATTTGTGTTTACTATTAACAAATTGTAACGTCTATTTGAGGGATGAATTGCGACAACAAATTAGTTATTGTTGCTCTTTCAAATCGTGGCGTGGGTCATTGTTTGTAATGTGTACGTGAAGTGCAATCACAAGGTGAAATGAAACATAATTCAATTAACATTTGTATGTTGTTTATCAATAATTATAGATGAAACAAAAATATTTCATTTAATTTTTTATTATTTATATACAATTTTTACACTATTATACAATTTTTACGTTATTATATTTACAAAGTTAATAATTTAAACTATACACTAAATATAAGGATTATAATGGATATAATGGAATACGAATTTTGGTACTATTATGAATCAGTTTTATAGAGATTTATTACAGTCTATGTCTATCTGCATAATATTTCGTTATAAGCGTCAAATTGAAGTTTCTTGGGAAGTTTATTTTATTTTTAATTGAAATATTTTATTTCAATAATAAATTTTATAACTGACTAAATACTAACTAATACTAAGGGGTTAGATGCCATTTGTCTAAACTAGTATTATTATGATCTGATGTTTCCAATATTCATCTTAATAATCATCAAAAATATTTAAAATTTATACAGTCTTTATAAAGGGTGTCCCAAAATTAACGCAAGATTTGAATTAAATAGAAAACACAGTTTTTATCACAAAATCACAATCCGAAAGCTAACAACTGTGTTTTCTATTTAATTCAAATCTTGCGTTAATTTTGGGACACCCTTTATGTTTGTCATTATTACTCTCACACCAAAAGTGATGAATCATCAGTGAATGTGGCAATTATAACATTGTTGATTATACAGTAGGTCCTTTCTTTCCTGAATATTTATATTTGATAATTCGAATGTTTGTTTCAAATAAATGTGATACAAACGTTCAATAATACCATAGTTTTATAGGCACCTGGAATGCTTGAAATGTTGCTTATTTTTTATCAAAATGTGATATATATATTTTTAGTTATGAACATCCAATAAAAAATATTCCCATTAGTTGTTATAATTGACAATGTTTATAAGCTTCCTTTTTTAGAAAATTGATTCTGTTTCGGTCGCTTATAACGAAAATTAAATTGATAAAGATTTAGTAATAATATACCAAGACTCATCATAAAACTGCTAATTTTAAGAATTATATATCATTACTTATTGATGCATTACATATTTATATATTTTATTTTCTTAACTATCTATCTTGTATATGAGTATCATGGCATTAACCTATTAATTATTAACCTATGGGTCGTGAAATAACAGCTGTCTCCTTGTGTCAAAGCGTCAACAATTTTGTATTGCAAACAATTGGGTCGCACAACTATAAATAAGTATGTTATAGTTAAAATGTAGAGAAATGCTACTTGTAGATTGATTTTGTGTGTATCAATTGATTGAATGTTTTGATTTTTTGTTTATAGACCCAACGTCCGGAGGTGGGCATAATGCAGGCTTTGGAGTCGCTGAACGACACACAGGTAAACGAGTTCCTATGCGGCAAAGCGCCGTTGAACCTTAGCATGCGTCTGGGAGATCACATGATGCTGATCCAACTGCAGCTGAGCACCGTTTCGGGAGCAAAGCCGCCGCCACAGCCTCCGGGCAGCCCACAACCCTCGCGTCCCCCTAGCCTTATACAGGCGTCCAGGAACCTTCAGCACACGCTCCGACGACTGTCAGCAGATGTCTTCTCAGGCAGAGGCGATGACAGTCCGAGGCAACGTAAGCATCAAAGAAGACACGATCATAGTAGATATTACAAGAACAGCCTTTGGTGGCTGCAAACCGAAGGATTTATTGATTGATTTGTTTTTGCTTTGCAGGTCGCAGAAGCAGTGTATACTCGGGCACGTTCAGCGGCGCCCTAAATCCGGCACTGCAGGATCCAAAAGGCAGACCTAGACGCGACGTCGCGACCATCGTGCACATCCTTAATGATCTCCTGTGCTCGGCGCCGGACCTCCGTCGCGTAAGACGGAGCGTCGACGAAGCGTCCTCCACATCTTCCGTCATCGAGCAGGACGAAGAGCCAGCTCCCTCAACCTGCAGCGAGGATCAGAACCTCCGCACCAGGGGCAAGCTGGAGCAGCTAAGACTGGTCATGGGCGAGAGAAGGGAGCGCAGACGCCAGCGCAAGCAGAAACCCTATTCCCTGCCTCAAAGTGATAACACAGACACTGTTACTGCATAAATTACACACTCCTTGTATATAGTTTTATTATCTACTTACATGTGCATTTCTAACTTGTTTCCCCCCAGACCACAAGCTTCGACAGATTCCCAAACTGTCGATTATACCCCCGTTTTCTCCCCCCTTATATTTTTCTATCCCTTAATTATTTTTATTTTTAATTCTAGTGTAAGTTTATTAATGATTTAGCATTAAACAGAAGAAATACACATTTCAATAATTTACTTTATATGTTTGTATTACAAATTTGAATATAATTGTACAGCGCGTCTCAAGGAAAACGCATGCATGTTTTGATATATTAGGAATCTCATCGATTAATAGATGTTATTTAAACGCTAACAAAAGGCTAGATAGTTATTAAAATATTTCTCCTCGGGCGTTCGAAGCAAATAAAATTATTTCCGATACGTTATTCTTTAAAATGCGTATTCAATATACTTAAAAAAAATCTAAAGCAATGTTCACTATATTCCAATACTATATATTAATGAAGACTCGAAGTATGCATACGACTCGTTTGAGACGCGCTGTGTGTACGAGACATTATTGCGCATAATCAACATTGATGTGTTAAGTCGGAGAGAGAATTATCAATAAATTGAAGACCTAACTGTAGGTGCTAGCATTCGAATAAATTGTATATACATATTGATATATTAAAAACCAGGAAAGGACAAGAAATTATTAACTAACAACAATTCGTGTTTTGTTTCTTTTTGTTGTTCGTATTTTTTGTATCTCTTGCATTCAATTTAGAATACTGAGCATGTTGAATGTTCATTATCCGTACTTAAGATATAACGTGACTTTAGATTGCGTTCAGATTTGTAAGTGATCCATGCAAGTTGAAATTCGATATAGTAGTGATCCGAAAAAAAGATTGATTGAATAAGGAGGTGCTGTATCCATTGTAAATTTTATTTGATAAATTCCATTAGGTGTACACACGTAAGTGATTTGAAAAATCATTTCAGATTGAAAATCTGGCATATTAAAAAAAAAGTATATATATACGATATAAAGAAAAGATGAGAATTTTCATATTTGTATTTAAACAATTTATAATAAAAATGTGAAAATATTTAACAAAAAAAAATTCGAGAAATTGAAAACCCCTTTTTTCAAATTTCACTCCACGTTTATTTATTTTTTTCAGTTCGTGTGTAATTTAAGTGCACAAGTTTCAAACTGCAGTTGTAAATAAAGATTGAATATTTCTTTTCAATTAATTACCTAAAAATGCAGTTTCACTTAGCTTGTCACATAGTATCTTTTACATAATGCAATTTGAGTATTTTTTTTAAAGTAATATTAAATCTTTTAATATAACAATTTAAATTCGTATTCTTTTATTTAATGCTGTGAAAGAGATTTAGAGTTAAATGAAGAAGGAAATACATGAAATGGTTATTTTTGAAGGGAAATTTAATTCGAATGGTCTGAACTGAGCATGTTCTCGTTTATTGATTTTACCTGGACATATTTGTTTCTCTACCAGTAGATGCAACTGCACATCTATCAACGCCCTTCATTGAATCATCTTCAATTCCATAGGTAAACCAGTAATCATTTTATGTTGCAAAATCGTTGATTAAAGACTTTTCTCACAGAAAGTCGGCGAGAAAATGGAATACTCGATTGATTTGTGCGCCTTCTACTTCACATTCTGCAACATCTTATGTCCCGGCCCTAAGGTTTGGGGCTTCAATTGCGTGATGGAATGCTTCTGCAACTGTGACCCGACAGCCGGTAAGGGCCGTTAAAATGAAAACAGATTAAAGAATACAAAAAGGACATTAGTTAATCTATTGTAATCAGAGGTGGTCATCCCGGCCCACACTCTTGGCGGACCAATGGTGAAGGGTTTCTAAGGATGATGCAATTAAAGCTAATACATGTTTGGTGTCACATATATCCTCGATGTCGTTAACAGAACATACATACATGTCCTCTGTTCAGTAGTCATTAGGAAAGCCCCATGTACTCTGTATCCCAAATACGTGTCCATCATACATACATGATGGACGTTTTCCTTGGTTGACCTATTTAAGCGAACAATGAAGCGTATCCAGTTTTCTTGGCAAGTATTTCACTAAACGTATGTACTAGATCAATTCTATTTATACCACTTAAAACTACAATGTCCATTATTTTTTTTAGGTATTCCATTTCATCTTCGACATCAATATGTTCTGATTCAAAAGTGCCAAAAGCCAACAACAAGGAAGGCTGAAAATAAGTAATTAACTGAAAACAGAAGACAATATAAAGATCTATACAATGTTTGATTTCAGAGAGAGAAAACAAGAAAATATGGTTCGAATTTAATATTTTTTGAAATTAATATTTACATTGATTGGCAATTTATATGGAAAACTGGAGGGTGAATATTGGAACACTATTTATGTATGATTTATACACAATGTAGTATTCGAAATAATAAAATAAATGTCATGAAATGAGAATATATTTTATTTATATTATTAATAAAGATTACATAAATGATCAAGAATGTTGTCTATTGAAAGTATTCTTATGTAATTATAAAAAAAAAAATATTTTTGAAAATTTGTGAATAAATTGTTATTAATAATATAATTTATCGATTGTTATCACAAAAGACTGTTCTGTAATTATCATTAATCTAATGATATTCGATTTATCCTGAAAAATTGGGAATATGAATATGTAGGTTTTTATTTCAAGAAGAAATGATTGCATGAATGAATATGAAGGGTGTCCTATCTAAGATTGTATTCCACAAAGAAAGCATTTGTACAATAAAAAGGTTTTCTTTTTGCAGGAAAAATCAGCAACTGTTCTTCAATCTTTCAAGTTCCTTCATATCATACTTTCTACTTTTCTTTTTGTGTAATAATTTGTTATTTGAATTTACTATGTGCCGAGCAATTGGTTGATATGGATAGTATTTAGTTTGGTTGTAGGTCAAATCTTCCAAGAATAATATTTATTCTAAACTAGAAGGGTTCCAAAGGCTATGAAGGATGAAGTCTCCTGCCTTCGAGATTAGACAGCTTTTCTGAGAGACAGGTACAACCAGGGGGACCAAGTTATAT